TAATGCTTCTGACTCCTTATTGTTCTTCTCCTTACCTGCTCATAGTGATCGAGTTTAAAGTGACACAAAGCTCAGAAGTTAAATCTTAAAACGCATTCAAGTACCTTAACTATTAACAATACTGGACCTTATTTGTGTATCACTCGACTGTAGATCCTCAAATCATCTCTGACGTGGTGCTGACACTGTCCTTCCTTCTGGAGGGTGGCTACTTTTGTTCCCCATGGTCCCTGTGTGTGCTGTAAAGTAGTCACTGCTCCAAGCTCGCACTTGTGATGGACTACAATCTCAATACAAATTAGTAAATTATTATAGTCTGTAACGAGAGCGAGCTTGGAGCTGTGACTACTTTACAACACACACAGGGACCATGGGGAACAAAAGTAGCCCCCCTCCAGAAGGAAGGACAGTGTCAGCACCGATTCAGAGATGATTTGAGGATCTACAGCCGAGTGATACACAAATAAGATACATTTCTGTTAATAGTTGAAGTACTTGAATGTATCTGTAAGATCCAACGCCTGAGTTTAGTGTCAATTTAAGGGCAAATATATTCTTTGCATATACAGTTTTTAAATTGACAGAGAATTGTCAGTTTAGTTTAAAGTTAGATGTTCATTAGGGCAGACATGTTTGTGTATTCCATATGCAGGCTCTGCTTCCTTCATATTAGTGCTGCACGATGAATGTCTGTCTGTTCCTCTCATTTAGTGCCAGTTTGGAGACTGGTTGAAATGAAAGTACTCCCTGTTTAAATGGGATTTTATCTCAGTAGCTGGTGATCAGGGAGCTCATGTGAATAATGGAAAATTCTGACTGCAGCCTGAGGGAGAAGCTCCAAATTAATATTTACAGTGCAGTAATGGAAATATGGCAAAGCAGAAAAGTAAAAATTAGAAACACAGAATTACTTTAAAGCTCAACTCCAGACACATATAGAAACACAAACAAATGCAGAGAAATATTTATTTTAAACGTTTGTATATGTAAACCCTAACAATTAACCTGCTATATGCCCCCTTTTGGTCTGTTTAATATGCCATTGGAAGCATTTTGTTTTAACTTTTTTGTAAGTGCTAAATAGACCTCTTGATATTTTTAAAGACTCAGAGCTGTCTTATGTCCTGTCATCTGTGCACTTCCTTTGCTTTCTCCCAGTCTTTATGTTGGACTACAGAATAATTTGCCTTTTATGTTGTAGAGATCTGAGAGAAGGAGTGGTTGAGTAGTTTAGCAAACGACAGCTGGGAGGGCTGACACCCCTCACAATAAAAATGCTGTGCGCTGTGAACACACAGAACCGATTGCAGTTTTGGCGGATGAAGAGGTAGCTTTCTGAACTATGCCTTGGGCTTGTGAACTATCCCTTGGGCTTGTTCACACCAAATGCAGACCAGATCTGCATGGGTTTCTGCACAAGCAGTGCAGTGTGTTTTGCTGCATTTTTTGCCGCAATTTTGCCACGTTCACGGCCGTTTTTGCAAACTTTTTTTTTAGAAAAGTTTCAAATGGGCTTTCAATGCATTCCAGTGCGTTTGCATGCATTTTTGATGCATTTGGATGCGTTCCAGAGCAGGTAAAATAGGGCTTGCTGCAGTTTTTTTACATGCTCTGGAACTGAACGCTGCGGTGTGAACTAGAGCCCAAAATACCATTGGAATACATTGGACGCAGTTTTGATCCGGTAATAAAACGTGATGAAATATGCATGTATTGTACAGATGTACTGCATGTGTTTGTTTTTGTGTTTGTTTTTTTTTTGTTGCCTTGACTGATGCTTTAAGTGTATTTTTAACTGCGGGTGTTGTAAATACCTGAATATGACTTCATTTCAGCCCTATGTCCCTATTCACAACTTCACATTCCATGAACGTGCGCGGTTTGACACGTGTTCACGGAACATGTAAAAAACTTGTTTCGGTGCTATTACTTGATAATGGCACCCCCAAACGTGGCTGAGAAAAACATGCATTTTTCCTTTTGAGTCGAGACGTGCACAGGCGCCGGGCAAAAAACATGGTACACCTGTAGCAGAGTCTGCTACATGAGCTACTTTCTTGTGCTTTACGTTATCTTAATTAGGGGTTATCTCTCATTGCTGCATGCACTCATTGAAGGCAGATTATATATACACATATATACATTGCACCAGAACAAAATACCTCTATCTCCCCACCATACGGGTGTCTTTTTTTTATTTCATTTAAAAGCTTTCTATAATTTTCTCAACCAATATTTAAAAAAAAGGAGCAGCTGCAAATCCTCTGAATTAAAAGGTGACTTAAGAATAATTTACCTGTTAAAATGTCTACAAATTCTTGTGTCATTTTTACGTAATGTGCCTCGTTGTCAAGCCTGGTTAAGAACCTTTCATAAATGAAATATTTTTTTTATTTACATTCTGTTTAACTTCCATTTTATTTGTTTTTAGCTCATTTAGAAATGCAAACCTTAATTGGGCTGTTTTTGCTGAGACCTTTTTTTTTTTCTTCGATGGTTATGTGAGAGAAATTTGATTACCTCACATTGAGTTGTTAATGTTTTCAGTCTGCATTCATGACAGCTGCCAAAAAATCCAGTCCGCATTTGTAGAGATTTGTTTTCAAAAGGAAATGTCAGAAAAGATTTTACTTCTAATTGACTGTACATGTTCTGCTATAAAGCCATCATTGTATGATGCCAATTAACGCTTTCTTTGCACACTTTAGAAAAAAATAATAATTTCAGACCTGAACTCTTAGGTTCGTTTTCCTATATAAATTATGTACCTATTGCTAAATATTTGGAATATCATTTGTGTTCTGTTCCATGAGAACTCTACGGAATGGGGTTCATTTACCTTCTATAGCAAGGACCGCAGTCAGAGTAGATTCCTGTATAAGATCTAAGCTAGGTATGCAGTTCAAACACAGGCAAGGGGCTAAATACACAGTTGAACCACATATATGGGGCATGTTTTACCTGCCAAGGGCAGTATTGTGACTGGCCAATAAAGGAGCAACAGCAGACTGGATGAGGTCACCTCTCAGCCTGTTTAACATAAACACATGTACACTGTGGCTAAACCTTATTGGCTCAGAGTACTACTGTACATGAGATTGCAGGAGACCATTATTATTGTAATGAGAGTAAATATTCCCTAAGTATTTCAAATGCTGTGTTCAGTTGCTATAAAAATAATTAAATAACATTTATCAAAAATATTGAATGATACATTTACCTGTGCACATTCAAGCATTTTTACCCCGTGCACTCCTAGCACCTTCTTATAGGGACTAACCCTGCAACTATCTTCGCATGGATCTCTCACATATACACCTGTGTGCAGATAATAATATTTACAGATTATTGCATTATGTTAGAAATAATTTTGATTATGAAATTAATCTAGAAATATCTAATTTTATCTTATAAATACAAGATAAAGATATTGTGTTACATTTTAGTACACAATATATAACTGGCAGTACACAGTTCACCTTTCCTTTTCTCTTGTGCAATTTCAAATAAAAAGGACGAATCTGACTGGCTACCCTATTCAATATTGACAGTTCCAATTTCAGGTGTGGATATTGGATCGGTTATACCGATAGCAAAGATGGCTCACCTGGTACATCCGGTCAGGTCCTCCTTTCTTTTTATAAAATGCATCAGGAAGATGATCTGTGTTCAGAAAAGACTATGCCGGCACCTACTCAGCAGAATTGGATAAAGACATGTTATATGTTTATCTATGCACAAACAGGTATATGTAAAAATGAAGGGTTCTACTAAAATAATTGTATATATTACAACAGTTTTTTGTTGGGACAGGTGGATAGTTACCCCATCCGTATGATTCATTAAATATATACAGTACATAAAAACCACACACGATCTTGTCGGAATTTTTTGGTACCACACAGACCATATTAATCAGTTAAAAAATCCTCTTTATTAAAATACATGTTTAAAACAAGACACTTCACAATATTTTGTTTTATTCATGTATTTTAATAAATATGTTTTTTGTTGTTGTTGTTTTTTTTTTACTGATTTAATATTGTCTATGTGGTACCAAAAAAGTACAAACATACTGTGTGAGGTTTTTATGTGTATATTTATAAATATCTATATATATTATTGTACAGTAGAACCCTGCATTTTTTTTGTTTATAAATATTACTACATAAAAAAATTCTCCACTATTTTGATGTCTCATACATCAAAGGAGCTTGGTGTAAACAAATATCATGTATACACCATGCTCCTTTGATGTATGAGATATCAATATAGTGGGAAATTAGTTATTTAGTAATATTTACCTACATCAAAGGGAAGCTTGGGAATTCATTTGACTCTAGACATTGGTTCTAGTGTGTTTTCCCACACGATTCAATTGGTTCATAAATATGTTCACATTTTTGGGAAACTGCCTCATGGAAATGAATAACTATGACTAACTATAAAAAAGGTCTACATTTTTGGAGATGTAAATTAGAGTGCTTTGCTATATAACTGTACTCACTGGGGTAAGTTTATATTTTTCACACAACTTATAGCCAGATTTCCCACATTTTTGTTAGATTTAATTGTGAAAATGTGTGAATCCTGTGAGTGAAATTATGATTTTTTTAAAAAATATTTAAAGATAGTTTCCTTTAGATATATAGATAATATATTCCTTAATTTGATTGTTCAGTATTATATGTTATTACCATTTTGAAACGTAATACACATTTTTTATTTTATTTTACAGATATAATAATGATTAATTATTAATTACATTATTAGAACTGTGAATTATTATTGGCATAATTGTGGTCAGTGTTAATATTATTGTAATTATTACTTAATGACACAGTAATTATTACTGTACTGCTGTGTGTATCTACCTGTACAGAAGCAGCAAAGGCTTCTGCAAATTGTCATAGAAAGCACTTGTATGGATGTTGACTTGATAAGTTTATCTTTTGGGTATTTGTGTGTCATCTGTCTGTGCCATTTATGTTTGTTCTCAGATTCTGGCCATTAACCGTGGGGAAAATCTGAAAGTCCTGACAGTAAAGGTCACCATTCCTGACAGGGTGAAGGATGCATTCTGTAGGTGGTGTGTCAATGAAAGGTCTGTATACATTCTTAACAAATCCTTTTTTTCCCACTGCTGCTGAAATGCCTCTTCAATGTCCCGGCGCATTATAGAGACATGGCGTTAACACAGTTTAAGCCCTATTAAAGATTTTTTTCCCTTTTTTATTCCTTTTGAGTTTGACTGATTTTGCTACATGTGTTGTGTGGCATTGCCATACTTGTTAGACAGGAGACAGGTCTCTGCAGCCTGGAGCAGTATTCGTATTTCAGAGCTTTAGCTGCAGAAGAAACAGACAAAACTACATTTGGTGTAATGCTTCAAAAGACCATTTTCTGGAACATTGAAATTGCCCGTTTTTTAAATTTAATAATTTAGTTAGAATGAATGTTTTATTTCAAGAGTAAGAGTCTTTTCAGGGAAACCTGCTGCCTCTGAAATTGAATTAAACTTCAGTGTGAAGATCTCAAATCTTCTTTCTAGTTATCCACTCTGAACCAGGCCAACATAGAGCCTTTCTTCCTGTCTCTCATGCCTTGGCCACGGCCCCTGCTTCCTGTCTACCAGGGGAAGATGGGTGGTAACAGGATAGTTCTTCCATGGCCAGGGTTTCTAATCTCTCTCCCATTCACAGAAGGGTGGGCACAAAATAGTTCTTCTCGTGCTAGGACCCATTTCTGTCATGAAGGCCACAAACTAGGTCGCCTGTGGCCAGGGCCTCTCCTCCCTGTCTTCCAGCTGAACATGGGTGGGAACTGAAGAAGTCTTTTCATTATCTCCCAGCTAAAGAAGGGCAGGAGCGTTGGCTATAGCGTTGGCTTTACCATGTTTGTGACATTCCACTTCAATAAATAAGCACAAGGATTCATGCTACACTGGAGTGCTGGTGATCTTCATCTTCTACAAATTTGATACACACGGCGCCATCTGTGACTTATTGCTGCGAGCACAACGGTTGTTCAGGTCCAATCGCTGTAAGAAGTGCAGGGGACACATCCATATACTAGCATTAAGTGTCCGTCAAGCACTGTTGGAGCTGTATTGATAGTTCTTAGAACTTACATCCAGAGTGCTCCGCAGTAGTGCAGTACATTACAATGCTTTTTCATTGCGTTTAAAGGTGCCATGAGATCATGTATGATGTCACCAATAATCCAATAATCTGGGCTCCAGCAGCTATCTTTCAAAAGGGCAGAACCTAGTTGATCTGCTGCTGCAGTGCAAAGACTCTCTCCATGAATTCCCAGGTTCACAGGTGTTGGATGACATTTGCATTTATTTTGTGAGGGTCAAACACTTCGCTAGGCAAACACAAAGTCCTTTTACATTTTACTTAAAACCCATGATAACGTTGACATTGTTATAATTTCTGCCCATGCCACTTTCTTTTCGGTTTTGTTTTTCGCTCCCTATTTCTTTCTAATTAAAATCTGGAGAAACATATCTATCTAAATCTGCTATCAAATTAAACTCCATTTTGTCCTTAAAAAAGGTGCATAATACATTAGGTATGCTTGAATAGGTGCAACTTACAGGGTTTGAAACCAAATTCTCTCTGAAACAGAAATATTATCAGGGACATAACAGTGAAAAGGGGGGTAAAAGTTTATGGCACTCATATGTTTAAAAGAGAACTATAGCCAAATGTTTTTTGGTCGTACTTTTCTTTGGGGTCACATTGGGGCATTTACCCATTGCCTGCTATATGCTGACAGTGCAGGGCCGCTCTGCACTTCTTGTATATAAAGTTTTTAGTTGACATGGTTTTTGAGGGGTTTACTGTGACTTGCAGTTGGGTTAGTTGGGTGAATCTTTTAGATTTAGAATAGGTTGGCTATATAAAGGAAATATATGCTATAAACTACTATATCATTGCTGGATAAACCCACTATTTTCGAATCCCTTATAATGGTTGACTTCACCCCACTACTGAGCCAGTTACAAGTTTGTTACCTTCTAGTGATTCTGTAATAATTTACATCATGGAAGGTTAATCACAGTAAATTTGACTCTGCTGCTATTTTTGTCATTTATTAAAAATAAAGAATTATTTAATTCAATCCATCAATGCCTACCCATAACCGGAAGATTCATTCTCTATGGAGTTAACATTTAAAGAAGAACTATGAGGTGAGTGATTTCCACTCATCCTCATAGTTAGTGCCAACCTGTGACAAAGAAGCTGTCACAGGTCAGCTCTATAGATCAGGAAGTGAGCAGAAACATGGACCGATCTGCTCAGTTCCCGATCGTCTTCCTGCAGTGAGCGGTGACTGTCAGTCACTGCTGCCCGCAGGGATTCCCCCCCCCCCCAACTGAGCTTTTGGTCACGGGAGGAGATTAGTATATGTTCTCCCGTGACCCTAAAGAGAACTATGGGGAAAAACACTTACCCCTTAGTTCTCTTTTAAGCTGTAATTATGTAATTTAAAATACGTCCCATCCCCAAAATGTTTTGTAAATAGGGAATTTGTGGGGAACTGAAATTCTTCTTATAGCAAAAATGAATGCATTATGACCTACTATGATGTTATTTTATAAATACATCTTAATGTAAACCTGTGCTTTGCACATGCAGGCCAAAGCAGCACATTCACTTTATTGCCCTCTTCTTGGTTTCCTATTGCCTCCTCTGTGTTCAAAAAGCAATTTAAAATTTGGTGAAGTTCAGTAAAAATTCTATGTTTTTAACAAGTATTAACTGCCTTTTTTTTCCCCTCGGAAGATGGAGACCAAAACAGTTTGCAAGGCCGGAGTTCATGACAATCCTACGTAATTCTGTAGAAGATTCGTACAAGCGCCTCATTTACCCTCTTCTCTGCAGAGAGTATCGGTATGCAAATCCTTATGCCAAAGTAAAATGTAAAACTATATACATCCTGATGTTATGTCATATGAAATGGAAGCCCCAGTGTTTTCTCCTGACCACACTCAAGGCAGCAAGTTTAAACTAAATCGGAAAGTTGACTCTACTGCCTTTTTTCCCCCTCTATTTAGATCAGCTTCACTTCTATATCTTGCAGTAGCACGCACTAGTGAGTTACAGTGCCATTTATTTTTAATGACACCCCAATGAATTAAGGCAGCGCATCCACGTTGCAGTGCACCACAATGTGGGGTAATGCACTGCTATGTGTTGTGGTGCCCTGCTACAGAAAAGAGGGGCAGATATCTTTTTTTATTGTCTTTTGTAGCCCATTCAAATGAATGGGCTGGCTTAATGGAATAGGCCTTAATGCAACGGTCTAGAAAGGAAAGGTATGAAGGGGGCCTCAGGTTGGAAACGGAATTAGGATGTTTGGAAACTTTTGTAACCAATGTAAAATATTTTCTGCACAAGTGACTGATTCTGTGCATTTTGGTAGCTTAGTACATCACACCTTTCATTTCTGGGCCACTAACTTCTAAATTGTGGACCTGTAATGATTAAAACTTAAAACCACTGGCTGGTCTGTATATCATTGAATCTACATTGTGTAATCTTTTATGCTTGAATAGATCATACATTTTTATTCCTGCTTTTTGATGAAAATGTTTTGGTTGCTGCTTATGAGTAGCAGCAATGAGTTTTAATTCTAATGGTTTTCACGGTTTGTTTATTGTGAGCCCAACATGCCTGTTGTATGTCCTGCCCAGTGTTGTCTTTCATAAGGTTTTAAAACCAGTTTAAGTGTCTTTCTTTTAGTTGTTTGTTTTTAGGCCCCTAAATCTAGCCAGCTAGTCACATCATTGTTTTTGACAATGGCAACCAAGGAGAGCAAAGCTGCATTCTGCCTCTCCTGTCTTTTTCATGTGAAGCTGACTGTTGAAAATTATAATCAGGAGAGGACTTTCAAGGCTCTGGGTTTTTGTAATTGGTTTGTGTTGATAAATCTCATTGTGTTATTTATGCCTGTTTGCAGGATACATAGAGCTTCCCTTTAGCAGTTAGTCTTTCCTAAGTTACCTAAAGGTTTTCTATAAGTATAGAGAGTCCACATGGCAGTTTTTCACACTGGCTGCAACCGGCTTTATTTCAGTCTGGCATTAAAGGAACAGCAGTAGCATTTCCAGGCTTAAAGGGACATCAGCAGCATTTCCAGCTTCTTAAAGAGAATTTCATGCCGCACACCTAAAACCCTAGTTTGTGTGCATCCTACTGTAAATTTAGGTGCTGGAGTTGCACCTTGTGTCCAGTAAGCATTTTCACTTACAAGGTTGCCATCTCACAGTGACTCCCTTTTTCCAGGTTTCCTCCCCAAGTATTGAGAGACCCCTATGCAGACAGTTGCTTCATCTATAAAGGATAACCACAGCAGTGGCATAATGATGACTGATTAGATAAGCTTCTCAGCAGCACATGACAGCCTTTCTTTGCCGAAACTTATATAAACACTTTGTAGCCTATATTGAAAGCATTACTGCCCAAAATCAGGGGCACATTTATGCTCATTAATGTGCCACAACTGACTTAAAATTGCATCTGTTGGCATTTGTGGTAACTCAGCGCGCTGCACTGCGCAGCAGTGCATTGCCATGTGTTGCAGTGCCAATTAAATAATGACACTGCAATACACCAGAATGTGCACGTTGTATTACCGCATGTTGGAGTAAAGAGCTTATTTTTCCATCCGGATGTTGTGGAACCGTAAGTCCTATGAGGCATTGACAGGCAAAGGCATGACTTCCAGAGGCAGAGAGATTATGGAATTTGTAGTTATAGCACAGCTGAAGGGCTGTAGTTGCCCAAGCCCTGTCCTATGCAATGGTATGAATGATGCCTAAATTTTCTCCCCCTCCCTGAAACACATGCATTTTAAATAGAATCTTCCCGTATGCCTTGTGCTTGTGCGATCATTTATTATTTAGTGACAGGTGGGAAAAACATCAGAGAGATTGGCAGAATTACTGACCGCATGATGTGCTTGTTATTTCATTTTATTTCTTTACCCCGCCATGTAGGACGCAGATTATCTTTCACGGCTGAAAGTCTTGTTGCACTTGGCACCTCTTAGCATGTTTTTGTAGGATCTTTAAGCAGATAAGATTATGAAGTTTATAGCGAAATATCTTGGCTTTCAACTCGTCAGATCTTGCCATATTAGTGTCCTTCACTGTGTCAATAATGGTGTTATGGGATACAGGAGGAATTTTCGCTCTATGATTAATACGCAATTTGCAGCTGTAATGATTTCATGATCAGTTATTAAAGTGTCCATGCCCATGCGTATTAGACCAATATATTTTTTGGACACATAATGAAAGAAGTGTTGAGGCTGCCATTACTGACCTTCTGGCTGTCCCTGACCTCAATACTTTCTGGAGTTCTGGAGCAAACTTTGTTGTTTGCTCCAGAACTGTTTCTCTCCCTATGCAAGCTAATGATTAAAGGGAGAACTATGGCACGCCTTATGTTTGCCCCATGGCAGGTTTCTTTTGTGTCATCCTAGTTCTAGGTCTGATTGTCCTATAAAGCCGTGAATATTTTTATCCACAGACCAGGCCAGAGACCCAGACATGGTAGGTAGAGAAAACAGAACGACAAGGAAGTAAAGTCTCATAACTGGAAATTCAAACCACAATTTACTTCTTGTCACATATAAGCACCCTTGACTCCTGTTGTAGGTCTGTTAATTTGGTGTGGGATATTCAGACCATAAAACCATAATGCTAGAAGGCTTTCTAGAAATATACAGAATGTGTAAAGTGGACATTCAGCTGATGTATGTGATACTTGATTTTAAACTATCACAAAAAAGTTTTTCATGATCAAACCCGTGTTGTATTTGTTACAGTGGAAGATTTGCATGGCATACATACATACAATGGTCATATTGTCTTTGATTTTGTCTTTTGACAGGTCTAAACTAAGCAGTGATGCAGAGAAGGAATCTATAATGATGTTTGGGAGAAACCTACGCCAGTTGCTTCTTGCAGGCCCTGTCAGAGGGCGTACAATAATGGGTGTGGACCCGGGGTACAAGCATGGCTGTAAGCTGGCCATCATTTCAGCCACTAGTAAGTGTCTCCCTGGCACTGTACAGTCATTTTATAACTTTTTAGTCACTGGCTAGTTTGTTACAATATAAAAGCTAATAAACCACAGCCAAAGCTAACCTCACCTCCCACCTATTTTGATGCCAATATGTACCATTAAAACCCTTATTTTCATATTTTCTACTGCAGCATATCTGATTTTTGGTCTTTATCTTCTCACTTCTATTTAAAGGTTAACTACACAAAGGTACAATTGGAAATAAATCTTGGCATCTACTGTATACTGGAAACTCAGCCTACTTGCTGAGTAAATTAATTTTTCACCCATACATTTCTGTACTGTACCGGTCCACCTTGTTTCCTTTTGTCTGTAGTCTGGTGATCCTGGAGCAAACCTACAGGGGATGCTGGAACACCCTTCTAGCTGACTCTCACTCACAGAAAGCCTAGTGTAAATTTACTGCCAGTATAAAATGTTTTTTACACCCATAAATGTGATTTTTTTTTTTATGCTAGAAGCGAAGAGTGAGGAATTTACAAGTTACATCCTTTGGAAAGTACGCTTCTACTGCCCCGCCTATTGATCATTTATGTCAATATTGAGTGTTTTCTCATGTTAAGGGTATTACTTTGAACACAGATTATGGTAAATTAAATTGGTGTTTTGTTGGATAACCATATTCACTCTGAATAATTTATTTTCTAGAAGTACCCTGTATTGCCCCTCTCCCTGTTTATAGAGCAGGTCCTTCCTTTGCACATGGAAAGCAACAGGTTCACTTAACACTTTAGAGTCTTTTACAGTACGAAAGAGAATGCTGTGCAAACCGAGATAAAATATGACACTCTTCTAGTTATGAACATCCAAATAGCGTGTCGGAGTTGGTTGGATTAAAGTAATATATGTTCTGTTTTGATTTACAAATTTGTTCCCTAGTAAAATAGCTTTTATGTATTTCTAAATGTGTATGTGGAGTTACACTTGCATCTCATTTATTGCCATGTGCCAGATCTTGACATTGTTGTACTCTGTCCTTATCCCGCAGTGTTACGGTATATTTAATGCAGAACACAGCTCCATCTCCTTCTCCCGTCGTCTTGATCAAAGACTCCACTCCAGACATCAGTGTTCAGTGAGAGCTTGTTAGCCCTGTTTTCACAGAACAATTTTACAATCATAAATGTGTTAATTGTGTATTTATCTGTAAGTGACAGGTAATATTCTTACGGTTGTGATCCATCGATGAAATGCACTCATTTGAGTTTTCTTTTTTCAGACCAGATCCTTCATACCGATGTTGTATATTTGCACACGGCGCGTGGCGGCTCGATGAATGACGCTGAGAAAATTAAAAGACTTCTACTGAATTTCAAGTAAATTGATTTTATGTTCATTTGTGAAGAAAAAGCAAATTAAAATCAACCTGTCACAAGGCTAGGCAATTCAAACTGAGCATTTGATGACACAATAGTTAGATAATAAGTAGACATAAGTAGAGGTGACCCCCAGTGAAATCTGCATGGTATAATGATCAGTAGCTTGAGAGATATTGTATGCAAATCTCAGCTTTTCCCTTGAATGCTGATCTTGGCTCACATACTTCCAGCTCCAGAGGTTTTTTTTTATTGGCGGTACATCAGCTTTTTGTACATTATCAAGATGCGTAATGCTGTATTCACAAAGGGCTTGCATGTGCATTTTGGGATTCCTGCAGCAAGGACCTATAGATTCCCAAGAACCTTTAGATAGATGTTTGTCCCTGGATACATTTATTCTATGTCTAGGGAACAATCTTCCATCCCGAACCACATGTGATCGTTACATGGAATGATTACATGCAGACTGCCATTGAGAGGTGGGGCTGCTGTCACCCTGTCGTTAACTTGAATGGGTACAGCAGCCGCATATAAATGGGCACACCTGGGATTCCTGCCACAAGAATCTGTGGGTGCCTGCACCTACTTAACTAAGTATCCCTGTGTTTCAGTGTGCTGGATTCACATCTATGGAAACACATCAAAATGACTGCATTGAAGTGCACGTCAGTGCATGACAGGAAGTGATGGAGAAATATCACAACTAGGGATGTGCACTATAATAAAAAACTTGTAAGAGGCTTTAACCCTTCCCAAACTATCAAAGACTTAAAGAATCTTAAAGAGAAGATGAGCCACTGGCCTGTTTTGTTGAAACGCAGTAGCTAGCGGCCTGGCAATCCAAACCATCCAGTGGACTCTTCACTGAGAAAGCTTGGCTCTGGAAGGTCTAACAAGGCTGTGCGTTGCATACAGGCTTAAAATAATTTTACAATCCAACTATTACTGTTTGGATTAGTTGAAATGTATCTTGTATTTGTCAAGACAATCCCATGTGCTCCACCTCATACCCACTGGACCAAATGGCACTGCAAGCATAATAGAAGAAATGCCAAGTAATCCTTTTCACAAAACCAGCTATTTAATCCTTGAAAAAAGAATGTCTCAGCGCCCAAAAAACTTTTGACCGTCTCCTGCAGGACTTTATTCCTCGTCTGTTCAGGGGCTGCTCATCTTAGAGATTTAGGGATTCTCATCAACACATGCAGAAAAAACAAACATAGAGCGCCACCTCCATGTGATGGATCATTTATTAAAGAATAACCCGCAAGTTAAAAATGTACGTAGAACAAAGCGCAATAATGTGAATGGAACCTTTAAGAGAGGAATCCCTTTCAGACATTACTTAATCTGCCTGCTTTACAGTGTGAGATTTGTCCGACGTTCTGAATGGGGGCTAGTTAAAAAGAATGTGGCAGCATAAAATCATTTTAACAATCTTAAAGGGAGGGAATCTTAATGGTCAGCTCAGATTAATAATATTAGCTTTTAAATTTTTTTTTTTTTAAAGTCAGGTAAAAATAAAATAATGCATATTATTATTGTTCTTCTTGCTTTTGTTGCTTTTGAGCTACCAGATATTAGAATATTAGGCTCCTTTGCTTTCCAATGTTAAGGTTCAGAATGAAACCTGTGTTTTCACAGCTCAGTTTCTCCTTCTTTATTATATGGCACAGTCTGGGGTTTCAATCAGACACATTGTGCCTCAAAGCAAACAGCTCTTGTCTGCTGTCTCTGTCATGTATTAAATGTTTGTAAAAGAAACAGTTTAGAAATGTATAAACTTAAAACCCCCACACTATTAAATTTTCTCTTTAACACAATTATTAAACATCTGTTTTTCTTATTAAAATCCTTCATCATCTGTAGACACCCTTTAACCCTGGCACACTTCTTTTCAGTCAAATCCATCATTCATCATCTGTTTCCCTGGGTGTTTCCAAAATTCTCACTGTACCTGTTTTATATGCACTCTCATCGTCAAGAAAACTAATCTGCCTCACATAGCGATGTGAACTGTCATGTAAGAAGGCTCACAGGAGGTGTGGATTGTGCCAACCACATGGATGAAAAGTGCATGGTGTGGGTTAAGAGAATCACTAGTTAATACAAAGCTTTATAATACAATAAGATAATTCAATAATGGTGCTTGCTGTAGGATAATTGATAAACATTTTTTTCTTGAAGACAGGTTCCCTTTTAATAAGCATTTTAATAATAAAAAATTGCATAAACTAACTGCAGTGTAGTTATAACTTTACCGTCTACATGCTTCCAGCATTCAGTGTAAAATTTACAGCCAGATCCGCTATTGAGCCACTCTATTATGTTGGCAGCGCTGAGAAATCGAAGAGGCAGTAAAATGTCTGAGTACATTGTCTGGCTGATAATTATAAATAGGTTAATTTGCAAGGCTATAAATAAAAGTGCAGTAATAATTACATCTCAGGTAATTACCGTGTTTCAGGGCAATACCTATCAAAGTGCGTTGCTGGAGGGATAATTGGAGAGAGGTTAATTGATCAATTATATGTTAATTGTATTGACATGTAGCTTTCTTGGATGGATCCCGGTTAATTGTGTTTGCCTAGCAAGGTCGTGTAAAACTAGGTTGTTTCAGAATTTACTTTATTGTTTAAAATGATGTGGAGTTAATTTTTTTGCAGCTACTTGTTTCCGAAAATGTCATCGTAATTTAACAAAGCAGAGGGGATGCCGTAGACAGTTGATGGATGTGCAGGCACTGTCCGGCCATCCTCGGCTATCCATCTTTTGGTGGGCCCCTAAGTATCCAGGGTCACCCTAAATTTTGGGGGAGAGGTGTGCTGCATATACTTTTTTTATTGGGGCAAACAGTAGTGATCTTGCATAGTTTTCTTACATGTCCGATTGTTGTCTCCCACCAGATGGCCTCAGACTAAGGCCCCATTCACACAAGAGTGACAGAGTTTCAGAGCTGTTTTTGCACGGGTTTTGACATTTTTTTATCAGAAAACAAAAAACAGAGAAATTCGACCAGCATTAGATATCGTGAATCCAGTAAAACAGCACTCGACTCCCATAATAGTAATAGAAAAGAAAGGAAGCCCGGGTAAAACTCTGAGCCACTGGGGCTTAAAGCAATAATGCACGGGCCACTGAGGTACCATAAAGCATAGGACTAATCATGGCCAGTCCCAAATACAATAACATAGTAAACATAAAAGTAATATGGCATCACAGCGCACCCCTCCAGAGGTGCGGTTTTGCGTCATTCTGCGCGGTTTTTATGCGTGTTTCAGCGCGTATTACAGGCGTTTTCTGTTCATATGTCAGCGCGTTTTTGAAGCTTGTTTTTAGTTGTCCAATGAGAAGAAGGCTCAGCTACTGAAACACGCAAAATCGTGCAAAAACTGATCAGGTTGTTTCCATTAAGGTCTATGGAGCAAAAGAAGCTCAGGGACTATTTCAAGCGACATGCGTATTTGTACGCGCGATTCTGTGTGTTTGCGTACATGGCCCCCATAGGAATGTATGGGATGTTTTTTGCATGCGATTCAGCACGGAAAAATCAGTTCGATAAAACCTCTCTGATGTGAACGGGGCCTAACATGTGAGGGTGCACCTCAGACAAATTACATTTTTACCAGATCTGGCTGTTTTTTGGCTAGTTTGGGAGACTCATTTAATATATATGGGCATCTTAAAGGTAAACTCCAGGCAAATTTAAAAATTATAAATTGCAGTTTTATGCATTTTTAAAAAAGTAATTAAATGTATTTTAATTGCCGTTAGTGGAAGAACTTGCATTTGACTTATCAGCATTTTGTAATCCCCTATACTGCAGCAATCAGACTGGGAGAGGCGAGGAGGGCAGCATGATAGTGCTATTCCTTGTAGATTGTCCACCGGTGCCATCTTTTATAAATGTTTATCTAAGCACTTGTGGTGAGTGCAATGGCTGATGGGCAAAGATGATTTTCTTCAGACAATTATGAAGCTAAGATATCATATATGCAGTAAAGTGTTACATGTGTATATTTTTTTACGTATAAAACCCTTTCTTTACGTTCCAGCCTTTGCTGTGAAATGACACAATAACATCGTCCTTCTCTTCCAGCTGTTATACAATTGCCATCGGGAATGGAACAGCATGCCGAGAAACCGAGCGCTACTTTGCTGACCTGATTCAGAGAAGGTTTTTTGCACCTCTCAATGTTGCCTACTGGTAAGAGTTTCCCCCATTGATGTACTTTGTATGTAATTACAACACCCATTACAACCTGCATTTGATATGTTCAAAAAAGATTGTTAAACCTAGGCTCTTCTGTAAGGCTTGGCCATACACTAGTAGATATCAGAACGAAAGATCTTTCTTTAGGAAAGAAACATTTATTTTTTACCACCTAATAATGCCATCAGAGACTTGACGAATGTCGAACGGAATTTTGTTTTATTTGAACATTCTATTTTGGAATGAATGGAGTTTCCCTGAATGAAAACTACATTCGCTATTAGAATTTAGTTGGTTCGAGAAAAATGTTTCCATCCTTCTCCAACTTTTTTCGTCACTATGGTTGAAATTGATTAACGATTTGACCCCATCAAGGAATAGAAAGATCTTTCCTTTGAAAATGATTTTGAAAATCTACTCATGTATGGCCACCTTAAGTCATGCAGCAACATACATTTTAATGAATGCTAATATCTGCTCTCCACTGTAAATAAGCCCACCAGTCTTTTTTGCTTTTCAGTGGCTTTGGAAGTTCTTTGAAGCGCAATTGAATTACCAGACTAGGTTTCAAGTGGAGTGGTAGAGGGGAAAAAAAGTAATTGTCATAGATTTTCATAAATGTACCAGCATGCTTGCCAATAATACGAAAGATAACCAAGATCTAGACATGAGAAACCACAAACATGGGCTGCCACCACAAGCGAATAATAGGTTTATGAAGGACCCCCCACTGATGATACTTCTAGAAGGAGGACTCTTCTCTACAACATATGAAAGCCTAATACATGTTTTTGCAAACACACGCTGCTTTCTGTTGCAGATAAAGGTCCAGTTAAACTAATCACTTCACCCACAGGCTACAGCAGACACTTAAATGTATGCTCACCCTATGTGTTCGAATTTTTGTGTCCTTTGAAAAGATAAAAGAAAAAAAAAATATATTAGCGCACAGTCCTCTGCTGTGACAGATCTCGTCAATGCATATTCCCTTTACCAGTGTGGTGTGATATGGTTATCTGCATAATATAATAATGTTTTTTGCTTCGCCTCACCCTAGGCTTTATTGATTCATGGTCATAGAGCCCCTCACGACTTCATACAAAGTTGAGCCTATAATGTGCTTCCCCTGTCATGTGATTCAGTGTTTTGGTTACTCTTTGGCACATGTTGTTGTAACTTATTTTTAACTACTTTCCTACCTAGCTCTGATGAAAACAGTTTTGGGTATTTCTTTGTGTGTTCCATATTTGTTGCTTACTTGATCTATATAAATTAGTTTCTTTGCGTTTTATTTATGTGTACGATTATTGTTGATATCGGGGTTTATTGATCTTTGTGATCTTTGTCCATATTTAGCGCACACAAACCATATATGTACGGCATTCAGAATTCGGTATTTAGAACTGTTAAAGTGGACCTTTACCCCCTTTGACTAAAAACCACATCAGCATACAGCTCTGCGTGCTGTTATGAAATCATCTTACATTCATGAAATAAACAAACATACTTTTATTTTACTTACAATTTATTTTTTTCTACTTCCTGGTCCACTTTGGCACAAATGATGTAATCATGCTCAAGCATTGCATCCTGGGAAGGTTAGATCAGCAGACTATTGCTGGGAAATGTCATCTGTAACCTCATGAGATCTCAGGGAAAGACATTTTCCTCCCCTGAGATGATGTGCAGGGTCGCATGTCCTAGTCACATATGCCAGAGCTCCAGGAAGTAAAGGGAGATCTAGTAACCTGCCCTTAGTTAAAATTGCCACTGTGAGAAGACTGGAGAAGAAAAGAAAAATAAGGTATGCAAAAAATAAAAAGCCGGCAATTTTCTATAAGTATCTGTTTGTAGATTATCTAACTGAACTACTAAAAAAAAATGTTACTAAACATTTCTTAACCAGTTGACATCCGCGGTGTTAAACCCCCTTCCCATCCAGGCCATTTTTCAGTATTCAGCGCTGCGGTACTTTAACTGACATTTATTCCGTCATGCAGCGCTGTACTGAAATGAATTTTATACCCTTTTTTGGGGACAGATAGAGCTTTCTTTTGGTGGTATTTATTCACCACTGGGGGTTTTATTTTTTTACTATATTAAGGAAAAATTACCGAAATTTAAAAAAAAAAACAGTTTCCCCTATATTAAATGATAAAACATTTATTATTACCCAATTTTTTGGTAAAATATAAAAGATGGGGTCACGTCGGGTAAAAAGACACTAAACATGTCAAGCCTTAAAATTGCGTGCGCGCGCGAAACCTCAAAAAACGATAATACCCAAAATTGGCCATAGGCGACGCTTTAAAAGCTGTTACCGCTCATCAGTTTAGTGTTATCAGTGATTGATGGCCCTAAAATGATTGCTCTCACTGCGACGTTCGCGGCGATATGTAACATGTGTAGCGCAATTGTAATTTTTGCGCGCTGGGGCACTGGACGCGTATTTACGTTTATAGGCGCGTAAACGTGGGGGTGGGGGAGTTAAACATTTTGGGGGGGTTTTTTCCCCTTTTTTTATATGTGACTTTTATTTTATTTTACTTTTTTATGTGTTACTTTTATTTTTTTTTATTTATATTTATTTTTTTGCACTTATTGTTATTGCTATTATATAGGGGGATAACAACCCCCTATATAATAGCAAAGGCACACTGACAGGTCCTCTTTATGGAGATATTAGGGGTCTCTAGGACCCCTAATATCACCTGTGGACCCCAAAAGAAGCTGATGAAGCAGAGATCTGCTTTATCAGCTTCTTCTCTCTGGCTATAGCAGCCAGATGACTGACAGGTGAATGCGGAAGTGATGTAATACACATCACTTCTGCATTCACAGCCCGGACGGAGATCAGCATGGAGCTGCCACGGGTGCCGCGAACAAGCACATATAGGCGATCGGCGGGCTATGGACCCGCTGATCGCCTATATGTGAAACACCCGGTAACGGGTGTGTTTAATCGTCGGGTCTTTTCTGCCCGTGCGTGCCCGCTAGGGGGCGCGCGCGAGCAGAAAAAAATTGCCGTCTGGAGACGGCAACCCGCAGATGTAGCAGTGCCGTCCGTCCGTTTTTTTACTACGGGTGGACGGCAAGAGGTTAAGGTGCCTGCAGCACACTTTAAAGTGCCCCTGTTAGGATGTCAGCAAACTAACAAAGGCACTGTTCTGTGAAAAAGCAGTTTTATGCATACCTGTCCGTTGGCCTGATTGCTAAAACTTAACTCGCAGAGCTCCCAATGCCTATCCAAGTCCACATTTTCAGGTATGTAGAACAACATGCCCCCATGCCCCCCACTGGCTCCTGTGGTCCCTCCGGCTGACCTCTTTGTCACCATTGTGTCCTGTAGTGATTGAAGGTCAGCAGGAGAAGCCACAGCAGCCTGCTATTTGACCAGTCCAAGGTATCGGATTGTTGCTCAGAGCTCAGCTACAGAGTAAAGTTTTAGTATGTGGGCCTACAGACAGGTACATATAGTACAGATTTCTATGCAGGGTTGTGCTTTTCGTTGACCTTTTGACATGGATCTCTTTAGACAGGGAGTGTAAATTGTATTCGGTGATAATCAGATTACCACTAAAGGAAGCATTCACAAATCTGTGTCTGAAATATGATTAAAATATGGCCCAACAAACAGAAATGTAAAAGTCTTATCAGATTTTTTATATTTACATGTCCCTGTAATAATTGAAAATGAGCCATTACTGCAAATAAATAGTGTTTTTTTTCTAGAAAACCCCTTTATGTTGAGCAATTTATGAACTCTCCTCCGTGCATAAAGTAAAGAACAGTGAGTGAACTTGCCTTGCTGTGCATGCTGGTGGGAATGAAATCCCTATTGAAGACTTACGGCGTTTAAACAGTTCTATTTTCCTTTCCTTTCTATAAGCAATGTGATTTACTCAATGTATAGCCAACATAAACACCCTCAGGAGCTTTTCTGTACCTACACGGCTCTTCGCCATGTCATTATTTATTAATGCTGTTCACTGCTAAGTCAGGTCAGAAGGTGGTCATATGTTATGGGAGCCTTTCCTCATTGGCCAATCTCCTCTATGATTGTTTTCTCAATAATCACCCTGAAGATTTTGCACATGTTACAGACAGTTGTATCTTTTATTGAAATATCCCAGCAAAGCTTTGTCCAATCTGAAAAATTCCTACCATGATCCTCTGTTTAATTTTATACTGCCAGTACTTGCTAACAAAGTGCCCTAATATTCTTACTGGATCCAGCAATATCTGCAATAGACATATGCTGTCGGTGAAAACTGTTCGTCATGTGTTTTGGAAAGTGATTTTCCCCTTACAACTGATATTTCAGCTCTGGTAGATGGTTTTTGGTGTGAGACTAAACAGGTAGAAATAAAATAAAAAGCACCAACTGAAAGCTGCAGCTTTCTGCCACCCTCACCGCCACCTTCCCCAGCCGAATCTGACACAGAGATGCCTAACATTTCTCACTACAATATTTCTTAGCTAGCAGTTGTTCCACCTAAACAGAAGGAAACCTTATCCTTTCTAATCAAGGTTGTGTATTCCACTTGAAAGAGTCTTCTGTTCCTTCCCCTATTATGGTGTCTGAGCTCGGTTCTCATAGAGCCAAATGTTCTACCTAGGTGTTTCCTCAACATCTTGTATTTAATGATTTTATCTGCAAATGTTGGATTAAAGCTTTGACTTTACCAATAAAAGACACTCCTTTCCTTAAGTACCCTACTGACAAGAAATTTAAATTAAATTCTAGATCCATCTACTGTTTGGTTGGCTCTGCCCTCCAACCCACGCCTACCTCCTCACCCTTTCCCAGACTCAGCAGAGATTTGTCTGCTGGCTTTGACACTGAACTTATTGATATCAATGACCATATTGTGGCTTTGAATTATTTGTATGACATGGCGGTGGATGCCATCCTGATATGTCTCGAGTAACCCTTTCTTTAGTCCAAATTCGCAGGGTGCTCTGGCTTAAAGGAGAACTATCTCACTCATCCT